GACTCTCTACACACAGTCACTCATGCCCTCGTCACCTCTCGTCTGGACTATTGTAATGCTCTCTACATGGGGCTCCCCTTGAGGTACACTCTGAGGCTCCAACTGGCGCAGAGTGCGGCCGCGCAGGTGGTTATGGGAGCGACGTGGAGTTCCCATGTAACACCTCTTCTGCGCGAGCTGCACTGGCTCCTGGTGGTCTTCCGAGTGTGCTTCAAGGTTCTGGTTATCACCTTTAAAGCGCTCCATGGCTTAGGACCTGGTTATCTATGGGACCGCCTGCTACCACCAATAGCCTCCCACTGGCCAGTATGCTCCCATAGAGAGGGGCTCCTCCGGGTGCTGTCGGCCAAACAATGTCGACTGGCGGCCCCTAGGGGGAGAGCCTTCTCTGTGGGGGCACCTATGATTTGTAACGAGCTCCCCCCAGAGATACAGAGGATCCCAGACCTTCCATCGTGTGCTTAAGACTTTTTTATTTCATCAAGCTGGCCTGGCCTAAATCTTCTCCCCTTTTTAAATGTAAATTTTAATTTGTTTTTAAATAATGGGGTATTTTAAATTCAGCCAAATTATTTAATTCGTTTTTACCTTATTTTAAATTTTTGTATTTATGTGTTTTATCTTGTGGCTGTACACCGCCCTGAGTCCTTCGGGAGAAGGGCGGTATAGAAATTTAATAAAATAAAATAAATAAATAAAATAAAAGGGAACAGCCAGCAACTGGGGAATGGCATGTGAGTGAAGAAGAAACAGCATTTTCCTCATAGAGTCATGGGACATGAGTGAAGGTTAAAATTGACCAGTCCAAATACGACTTCTGATAATGCAGCACTATCAGAAGAAAGAAGAAATTAAACAAAACTGATAAAGGAGACAATGCCAGGGATATCCAGGATGGAAGACAGCACAGAAACCAAAAAGCTAACTACTAAAAAAAAAAGAAGAAGAAAATTATCAGTATCGTTTACCTAACAAACTAATATGGTGCCATAATTCTTTTTGTAGTTATATGTTCAAAATATTGTGCAATGTTCATTGGGCTGTTGAAATAAGTAGTAGCACTTTCTCACCTCTAAATCATTGACATATATTTTGAAAGAGGTAGTGCTGTTGTAATAGTGGAACTGCTTCTTGATGAAGACAATGGAGGGTCTTTCACAGCCCACACATACTCCTTGTTAACGTTGCTCTTCACTGAAGGAAAAGAACAATCAGAAACTGGGTTTAAGGTACATTAATGCAGAGCTGGTTTCCAAGAAGTTGAGTTAAGGAAAAAAGAAACCTCTTTCATATTATTCTAAGAAGAAAATAGCACCGTCCCTCTTTCTTTCCTGTTCAATGTTGAAGAGGAAGTTCCAATAATCAATGTCTTGATTAGTGATTACAGGTAGGTTCTATTTCAGCGTTCCCCAATCTTTCTGGTTTCTACTCTTCTTCCAGAGTCTACAAAATATGGATTGGATAAATGAAGAGATGGAATAATAAAGAATAATAAAATGGTGGGTTAATGTTTCATGAAGAGAATACGTGAGGATGTCAAGGTTTCACTTTGGCAAGGCAAAGTTAACTAAACATGAAGGAAAATGTAAAGTTCTGTATCTGCGTTGGAAAAGAAAGAGAAAAGAAAGGGACACGTATACGATAGAGGGGACCTGGTTTGTAATATTACATGTGAAAAGGATGCAAATTAAAATGTGTAGGAATATGGATATGCTTTGAGTTCTTTGTAAAACTAATAAATGATAAATAAATAAATGAAAGGGGTAACTAATAGCACTTCTCACTGTATTCTTGGGGCACTCTGCTACTTCCTGACTTCTACTGCCTAGAAATACATCAGCAATCATTCTACACTTTCTGTAAAATTGACTGAATTGATAAGCAATCCATAATGAAAGAATATGATAATAACAAGTACAACAATAAATTTGTCTGGGTTGACCATGGGCAGAAATGAATATATCATATCTGAAAGAAGTATTGGGATATGCTCAAAATATTGTGCAATGTTCATTGGGCTGTTGAAATAAGTAGTAGCATTGCTCACCTCTAAATCATTGAAACATATTTTGAAACAGGTGGTGGTGTCGTAATAGTGAAATTGCTTCTTGATGAAGACAGGAGGGGCTTTCACAGCCCTCACCTACTCCTTCTGAATGTTGCTCTTCATTGAAGGGAAAGAACAATCAGCAACTGAGTTGAATGTTCTCCTCTGCAAAGCTGGTTTCCAAGAAGTTGAGTTAAGGAAACATCTTTGATATTATTCTAGGAAGAAAATAGCATTGCCCCTGATTCCTTCCTGTTCCATCTTGAAGAGGAAGTTCCAGCAATCAATGTCATGATTTGTTGATTACAGTTGATTCTATTCCAGTGTTTGCCCTACCTTTCCTGCTTTGCAGACCAGTAGGGGTGTGTTAGAGGCAGTGGTGAAATCCAATTTTTTTTACTACTGGTTCTGTAGGCGTGGCTTGGTGGGCATGGTGTGGCTTGGTGGGCATGGCAGGGGAAAGATACTGCAAAATCTCCCTTCCCACTCCACTCCAGGGAAAGGATACTGCAAAGTCCCCATTCCCACCCTACTCCTGAGGGAAGGATATTGCAAAATCTCCATTCCCACCCCACTCTGGGACCAGCCAGAAGTGGTATTTGCTGGTTCTCCAAACTACTCAAAATTTCCACTACTTGTTCTCAGAACTGCTCAAAATTTCTGCTACCAGTTCTCCAGAACCTGTCAGAACCTGCTGGATTTCACTCCTGGTTAGAGGGGATGGTTCCATGCAAGCAATAGGCACATGTGCCTGCCACTAGTGTAAATGGAGCTACACATGTGCTCGCCTACCACTTCCATGGCCTGGTTCCAAATGGCCAACAGCCCGGTGCTGGGCTGAGGCCTGGGAGTTGGGTATCCCTGTTTTGTTCTATTGTTCTTCCAGGATATGAATTGGATAGATGAAGAGTTGGGGTTAATAAAGAATAATGAAATGGTACTTTATGTTTTATGACAAGAAGACATGAAGATGGCAAAAGTTCACTTTGGCAAGGCAAAGTTAACTGAAAAAAAATACAATGGGACTGAACGAAGAAAAATATAAAATTTTGCATCTGGGTAAGAAAAGAAAGAGAAAAGAACATGTATAAAATAGGGGAGACCTGGTTTGTAACATGCATCCTGTGTAAAGGGTGCAAGTTAAAATGAGTCAGCAAAGTCACACAGCTATTAGAAAGGCAAGAACTGCCTTGAGGTGCAAGAACTGAAGGATAGCATCCCAATCATGAAAGGTAATGGTACCACTGTATTCTACCCTGATGAAACTTGGAATATTGTGTCCAGTTCTGGAAAGCCCAATTCAAAGGAATGCTGAGAAATTGGAAAAAGTTCAGGATAGCTATTAAGACATTAGGGTATCTGGAAGCCAATCCCTAGAATCAAAAGTTAAAAGATCAGGGTGGATTTGGTCTACAGAAAAGATAGAAGTTGTCAAATATGGTCACATACAGGACAGACTTTTTCTCTACCAACCTAGAAAATGGGACAAGAAGTAATAGATTAAAGTAGAACAAAGTATGTTCAGGGTGGACACCAGGAGAAACTTCCAGGATGTAACAACTGCCAGTCAGTGGGATAAATTGCCATATAAAATTTTAAATCTTTTTTCTGTGACAGTCTTCAAACTGAGGCTGGATATTATAGGTAGCTGGATTACAGTACATGTTCCAGCAAGATCTATTATTTCCATATGCATATCTGCATTTAGCGTATGTGCAAGAGTACCTGGGAAGAGATAATTTAGGATTTATGGACTGTATCTTGCAATTTTTGGCACATTTTTAGTGCTCTTTGTTTTAGTTGGGCATACCTATAGCATACCACCCATGATCAGCCAAGCATTCCCAGTGCTAGGCCTGAGTCTGTTAGCATTGGCCTCCATGGGAAAACTAAAGTCCAGTTAGAAAAGAGCAAAAGTCCAGTTAAGCAATTCCAGCCAAACAGGCATGCCAAAGTGGCCTTAAGGAAGGGAAGGAAAGCAACAGTAGTTAAGACCAATAATGGAGATGTGCAGCAAGGGTAATTGTAACTAGTCACAGTCTTCCCCATCTCAGGGATAACAGCCCTGGAAAGAACCCAGGCTAAATTAGCCCCATCCAAAATACAAATTCTGATAATACAGTGCTATTCCAGGGAAGAAGAAACTAAATATTACTGATAATGGGAAAAATGCAAGAGAGATCCTAGATCAGGGGTGTCAAACTGGATTTCATTGAAGGCTGCATCAGGGTTGTGTTTGACCTCAGGGGGCCAAGTGGGTGTGACCAGCTCAATGTCCTGCAGTCCACGCACGGTCCTCCTGGGCTCTGTTTTCAGCTGCGACAGCCTCCTGCAGCTCTCTGCCAGCGAAAACAGAACCCAGGAGGGCCACATGTGGCCCTCCCAAGTTCCGTTTTCGCTGGCAGAGGCACTGCAGACTGGTCCTTCGCTGTTTCCAGGGCAGCCCTGCAGGCCAGATATAAGCACCCTGCAGGCTGGATCCGGCCCATGGGCTTTGAGTTTGACACCCCTATCCTAGATGGAAGACAGTATAGAAGCCAGAAAGGTAACCAGTAGAAAAAGAAAAGAAAGAAAACCAATATAATTTTATTAACCTACTATTACTGTGCCATGATTCTTTTTGCATTGAAAACAGATGTTTTCCCAAAATCATATTTTTATTGCTTGAGACCTCCAGCCATCCTGACATCTACAATGAAGAGGTGGCAGGATCAGAATTGTCTTGTCAGGTGAATTAAGCAACTCCTGAAACCACTCCTATATTCTGCAGATATATACCCCCTCTCTGACTTCTCTTCCTTTGTCTGAAACTGAGATTTATCCTGAGCATCTCATGAAGCTGTCACTTGAAAGACTGACTTGGAATCTCCTCTGCTCTGCTATCGTGCGGATAAGACTTCAGCCATTAAACTCAGCACTTCCTGTCTGTGAAGCATAGACTGTATTATCTGTAAGAAGCTACTAATCTAAGATTTTCTATCCAGTTTTTCATGGCTTTTCCTTTGCACAGAATTCCTTTGCCAAGAACTTTATAGAAATCATTAGCAACTACAAATTAGAACTTGTAATAGTCAGGGGAAAAGAGGTGGAAAATGGCAAATAAAAATATTCTCTTTACATAACTTGATTTCTAGAATTTCACCATTCTGATTCTAGGTAAGCTAATATTCAATGTGAAAAATAAATCTGATTTTTTTTAAAAGAAATACTCAGTAAATGTTTGTACATTTTCTACAGTGTATGCATATATTAATTATTTCAATAGTATTTTAGATTATTGTAATATATTGAATCTTGTGTACAGGGTGTTTTAAATCTTTCTTTAGAGCTTAAGGTTCTATTTTTAAATATTAGTTCTAAAACTTGTTGGTTAGTTTTATGCCCTTCTTTACCTCTTCCCCATCTATCCTAATACCTCTCTAAATATAAATAAAACCTCCACTTTTTACTTTCACATAATCGTAGTAATTAGTCATCTGTATAACAACAAATCTGTCTAATTGGTAAAACCCAAAATCAAAGTTTCATTTCCCACCACCACCACAACTACTTAATTTCCAAGTACAAATAAAAGTATTTGTATTTTTTTCCTTGATCGAAACAGTCAATTTAGCCATCTTGGCTAACTCCATTAGTTTTTGCAGCAATTCATCCATTGTGGGAATTGAGGTGACCTTCTATTTTTCATTTCCTGCTTTTCATGAGACACTTGTCCTGTAACGCTGGGGCAGCTAAACCTATTCCGGAGTCATTGCTGAAAAACTTTTGAAGACCTTCTGTGTCCTTGTTTTGTCATTAATAATTAACTAATAATTCAGTTCATAACCTTTTCCCTGGAACATCTTAAGGGCACCTATATTTTGCAATGTTTACATACAGGAATAAAAAGTTTGGCTGAAGAAGCGTCCTTTTGGATCAACAAGAGAACAATGAGTTCAACAGAAGAAATCAAAACTTTTCAAACATTGTTTAAATATCAGCATTCGTTTATAACTTTCAAGGTAAGTTGGCTAATACTTGAAAATATTAAATCTTAACTTTGAAACTACAAAAGCCCCTCTATTTCTCAATGGTTGTGAAAACAATAGAGTCAGCAAAGTTTATGTTGTGATGAATGGCCACAAAATTCTTTCTTGTGCCTTCTGAGCAGATTGGCTTCAGTAGATATCAGTAGGTTAGTTTCCTTGTTCAGATATGCTCCTCTTTTGCCAATCAGAAATTAAAAGGGGCCCAATTACAGCAGACAAAATTTTATTACACCATACTTTAGACCAGGGGTGAAATCTACTTACCTTCCCTTTTGGTTTTGAAGTGTGTGTGCTGTGCATGTGCAATTTTGGACCCTCTGTGCATGCACAGAGGATAAAAAACAGGTTACTTCCTGGTTAAAACCAGGAAGTAACAACGTCTGGGGGGAGGGTGGAGCCTCACGATGCCACCACTACCGATTCACCCGAACCGGTCCGAACCGGTAGCATTTCACCCCTGCTTTAGACATAGGTAAATTCCTTAATATTTTTAGTAACATCTTTTGACTTTTTAATTACTCGGATGATTTTAGCTCAGTTTGTTCATGTCCGAAGGACTAACGTTAATCTCCGTGAATAAATCTCCCAACCAATATATTAAATAATTTAGTGACTATACCTTTCTTCAAAGAGCCATAGATAGATAGATTTGGGCTGTTGGATGGAGCTGAGAGGAATGTCACGGCTTTCAGTCCTGTTTTCCTTTTCTTCATAGGTCATTTCAACTGCCTGTGAGTTGGGCATCTTCGATCTGCTGAGAGAGTCAGGAGAACTTCTGTCCTCCGGGACTTTGGCTGAGCACTTGAAGACCAGCCCCATTGGGCTGCAGAGGCTGCTGGAGGCCTGTGTGGGGTTAAAGCTCCTGACACTCGAGTGGAAGGATGGCAAAGGTAATCCTGTGAGAAGCAGGAAGCAACTGGAATGGCCAACAATTATTCCATAATAGTAGGCAATATGCGATCACTGCACCTGTGGAGTTTGACAGAGTTTATAGAAGGAAGGCTTCCAGACATCACAGGCCAGAAAGTTGGTATCGTGTGCAGTAACTGGATTTGTGTGTATGTGTTTGTATGTGTTGAGTGAGTCCATTATTACTTTCTTTGAGATTTGGTCCAGCCTGTTTCACAGGATCTTTTTTTCTCTTCCCAAAGTTTTATATTCACACTTGCAAAGAAATATAAATCAGAACAACAAAAAATGGCATTTTGAGTTGGTGTCCCTCCTTTTTTCAAAACAAAACAAAATCAACTTTGTTTCCAAACTATGAGCATTACTGTTGTTCAAGGGGATTGAACCGATTTCCAAAATAAAATAATATCCAAATCCCAACTCTAATGAAATTTGAAAAACAACAACAACCAGCCATTGCACTTGGCCCAATGACTGGTACACATCTAGAGGCTAGCTCCTCTTTACGTCCTGCTAAACCACCACCTTGAATGTATTTCACTAAGAGTTAAATGACATGTGTCTTTTTTCTTAGGCTGCCTCTCATCACCATTCCAGTCTGAAAAAAGCGTTCTCCTTCTTCTCTGAAATAAATTCTTGAGGAGGACCCCCTTTGCTTGCTGGTGCAATCACAAGGCTTAGAAACAGATCCTGCCCAGCCCCTCTTTCTAAGGTCGTCTTCTCTGATGCCCAGACACTCTCCTTAAGCATATTCTGTTTGAGTTTCAGACCTGGAGAATCTGCTCTGCGGAGCGAACAGCAGCAAGGCCTTGAGGTTGGGTGGCTGCTCTTTTTAAACCACTCATGTCCTGGCTCTCACTGGTCTTTCAGTCTTGCAGGCGACATGAGAAGAGAGCTGTCTTATACGGGGATCCATTTTTTAAAAATTAGTTCTCCTTACTTCTTCTGTCAGCCCCCAAAATGTGTGGAATGGTAATAGCACAGGGTGAGACCGCATATATACACATGTGTATACTGTATGTGTTTGTGTTCATGTTTTTAATGCACCTTTTTAAATGCCTTGTTTGTTTTGTTTTGTTTTGTTTTTCTTTTTGTAGTTACGTATTTTAACTTTTTTTTAAATAAAAAGAAAATTTGGAAAGATAAATATACATTTGCCAAATAGCACACTATAATTTACAAATACATTTACTGCACTCCATTGGTCAATAGGTGATTTTTTAAAATATTGATTTAAAATACAACTGAGCTATAGAATAATATATTGTGCATATCCTTGTTTGCTTTAAAGATAATCACCAATCAGTTTTATTCCCCTAAAAGTCAGGATTATTTGCATCCATCATGCAGCACTTGGATCTCGAACTCATGCTGTCAGCTTTCAGCTCACAAGCTCAGCATCTTTAACAGCTGAGCCATTGCACCCCCTTTTACATTATAATTTACAAATGCATTTAGTATCTTACACTGGCCAATAGGTGATTTTAAAAAATATTGATTTAACAATGCAACATACCTATAGAATGTCATATTGTATATAGACCTTTCTTTGCTTTAGGATCAGTTTTGTTCCCCTAAAAGTCAGGATTATTTTCACCTGTGATTATATTATTATGATTTTTTTTTCTTGTGTTCAGTTGTATCTGATGCTCAGAAACTGCCTAGATAACATAGGTCCCTGCAGATTTTGTGGCAAGGTTTTTCAGAAGAGCTTTGCCACCACTTCCTTCCTATGGGTAAGAGAAAGTTACTAGCACAAAGTCATCCAGCTGGCTTTGTGTGTACTGTGGGACAGGAACTTACACTCTCCAATTTTTTAGCCTGGTACCTTAACAATTACACCAAATTGACTCTCATAATATTGTCATACGCTTGACATTAATACAGCATAATTTGTTTTTAAAGAAGTAGTTTAAGGCAATCTTGTAAGTATTCCTCTAGTGAATTGAAAGACAGTTACATACAATGATACCCGTAATTTTTGCTTCTTTTTTAGATTTTTATGGAAACACAGACTTTACCAATCTCTACCTGGTCAAATCAAGCCCAAAGTCTCAGTATTATTCCATGAAGTTCTATTCTGAAGTTATGTATCCATCAATGCAACATTTGCCTGAAGTTGTGAGGTAAATAGACGGGACTAGTGAAGTAGAATAAATAAAGATAAGCGCATGAAAGGGCATCTTATGTTATGTTACTGACCTGATGTTGCTCCTGACAATTTCCCATCTATTTTAATTGATTCCATTATTAAAAAGCTTTGCACAAGAGATATTGGAACAGAAACCCAACCTCTAATAATAAAAGCAAGAAAAGCGAACTTTTGATGGTATACTATGGAGTCATTTCATTAAGATGAAGACTGAGATTAAAGTTTATGACTGATAGGTAACTTTTTGTAAATAGGAGGAGTAATTGACTTGAATAATGTTTTAAGATGTTGTTATGGATTTAACAATATTCAGTTAATTTTTCAAAGAGATATAAACTATGAAAATACTGTAATATTTTAATAATATGTTTTTTTAAAAATGATATTAATTCAGATTATTTATACTGAATGCAAATTCAATAACTTTAAATAAACAAAATTGTAATTTATATCAAAACATTAGTAACTATTAGAGGATTCTGCCTATAAAAACATTCCAAAGTTTGGTTATAACTGTAATTTAGATCACAAGAGGCATATTTAAATTTAAAGTAAAATGAAAAGCAGCAGTTGCAAAGGCAAAAATTCAAAGAACAATTTCTAAGCAATAAAAAGTAAAAGAGCAGAAATCAATATAAACGGAAAATTTTTTTGAGTGCTACACAGTTCTTAAAATATGAAAATGTCAACATATTCCTATTACAGATAATCCTCAAATTCCATAAGCAATTAGGACTGAATTTTCCATCACTCACTGATGCAATCATAAAGCATGATGTTATGTGATCCTGTGGCTTAACAACTGTAATTCTAGCAGTCTCAGTTGCCATCATTATGTGAGGATTGCACAGACCATTAAGCAAGAGCCTATGTGATTACAATTTACAACTTCCTGCCAGCTTTCCCATTGATGTTGCTTGCAGGAAGCTGACAGGAGACATCAGAAATTATTATCACTGCATAGATTCTGCAATGGCTGGAACTCTGAGGACCAGTCATTCAATACTGTTGTAACTTTGAATGGTCAGTAATCAAATGGTGGTAACCTGAGAACTACCTGTATATCACTCCAGTCTTCATCAGCTAGGCCTCCCCAGACTTGTTTGCCAATTACTAGAATGACCATCTCTGTTCACAACATTGAAACTCTACAATGAAAAGAACTGCATGACTTAGGAACAGCTCTATTTGACCTAGTCTGGTCCAACATTAATCTTAAAATAAAAAGATTTGGGGGGATATTTTTTTCCTACAGATCCATCAACAGTGAATTCATAAACCTGAAGAACTGAGAGTGCTCCTGAAACTTTCTTTAAACCAAAAACATTAAAAGAACCCAACGAACTTCTATACTGCTATCTTTTTAATGAAATTACCAGATTCTACTGAACTGTACTTGAGAAAGTAAAGGAGAACTGGCTTAATAATGAACTCTTTAGAATAAATTTTGAACTGTGAGAATACAGTTCAAAATACAGTAGACATTCAGGATCTACATCTGTGCAAAAGAAAATGGCAGGATGATTGTCTTGTTCCTTTCTAACTTTTTTAAAAAAAAATTCTTCTAGGAAAGGAAAAAATCAGAGTTCATCAATATATGGCACTCCCAACGTTTTTGAGATCATATACAGGTAACATTAAAATTTTAAAGAATGGTCATTAAATAAATTATTTCATGGGCAACTAATCAATATGATTAATCTTCACAATGTCTGTGTTTTTTCTGTCATATTCTTTTTTACATTTTTAAATTTTTATTTAAAAGATTAAAATACAAAATAAAATAATACCTTGTTTTCCCGAAAATATGACGCGGTCTTATTTTCTTTTGGACCCCAAAATAAGTACTAGGTTTCATTTTTTGGGGATGTCTTGCCCGCTTACCCTAGTACCACCACAGCCAGGGAGTAATACCGCTGCCCAACTTCTACAGCCGCTCATGGCTGTGTCAGAGTTCCAAGTAACATCCCCAACGAAAGAAGACTCTGAGGCTAGAAGTTCCTCAAAGTTCCATTTTATTAGAGATGTCATATTGGCACATCTGGGAAAATCCGAATCTGAAAGCTTCCAGGTTTTCCCCATCCAAAAGAAAGTGCAAGTCCCTGCCCCAACACCCACATGTCCATCACATGGCCCAATCAATGCACCTTCCCATCTGGAGATGCCTCCCAGTCACACCACTCCAGGTGCAGGGCAGGATGTCCTTGACTCTCAAAGAAAACAATGTTATTATGGATAGATATCTCTCCACTCCATACATCCCCCCTCCCAGTTTCCCACAGCACTAAATGTGGCAGCCCTGAAGATCCAAAGTAAAAGATGGCTTCCAGGACTGACAGGCTGCTCGCAGCCAGATGCATGTGGCTCATCACGCCGATGTCATCACTTGAAACATGGCACATCGCAAGAGTGCTGCTGCTCATGGCAGGAGGCCACGTGGCTCGTCGCGCCAGTGCTGCAGCTCACAGCAGGAGGCAGAATGGTATGTTGTGTCATTGCATATGCGAGCAGCAACGCCGACACAATGAGCCACGTGGCCTCCTGCTGCAAGTGGCAGCACCAGTGCAACATGCCACATGGCCTCCTATCACGAGTAGTGACATCGGCATGATGAGCAGCCGCAGAAGCCAGTCAGTGGTAGAACAGGTGTCGGGGCATTGGAGGTCCTAAGGTAAGCAGGTGCAGGACACATTCGGCAGCTCCACCCCCACCTACCCCCAAGCTTGATTTTTACGCATACGCCTTGCCCCACCTCGTACAACCAGATGATGGGATGGAGTGGGCGGGTCTTAACTAGGGCTTATTTTTTGGATAGGCCTTATATTAGGCACAAGTGTGAAAATCAGGCTAGGGCTTGTTTTCAGGCTAGGTCATATTTTCAGGGAAACACAGCATTAACAGAGACAAAACAAAACTAGATAAGAATGTTAAAAAATCTGAATTAAAAGAACAAAAAACAAAAACACACATACCCACTAGTTGAACACTAGTTCAATAGACAAATCTGTTGCAACAATAATAACTTCCCACTTTGCAAAGCAGGTTCAACATTTATAAGCTTCTTCATCTATTTGCAACCCAACTGACCTGTCATTCATTACATATATGAAAGAAAAAATAATTAACAGGTTAAACAATAACGAAGTTAAATTTAAGGCACTCTGTTAACAGTCTGTTTTTATAATTTACTCATAGAAAGTCTACAAGTTTTCTTATTTAACACAAATCACCCCAAACATTATCTTTGATCTGTCCAGAACAAATAGCCTCATTTGTTAATTTTATTAATGAAACCTTTCCTTAGGCATCTCATTTCCGAAGTTCGTAGGTTTCTGTTTTAAATATGTCTACAATATCCATTGTTGAAACATTCTCCTTAACAACACTATAATTCTCTTACCAGGAAAATCCAGTCCATCCTTTATCAATTCCATTGTCTTAGAATTTCTTATATTTATATTCATTTCAATCTTTTCTGGAAGGTTTGTATTTACCAAACCAAGTACATTTGACAGCAATAGATCAGATTTTTGTCCAGTTGCAAATAAGTCCAACTGTTATTTTCTGCTTTTGAATATTGTCTTTTATATTGTTATTTTTTGTTATTTGTTATTGACTGTTATTATACATAAACATTTTTGTTTATATATAAAATAAAACCTGCAAATAAGCCTGCAAGTAAGAGAACATTCTTTTTTCAAATGCTTCCCAGAAAATCTTATCTCCTTTCTGAAACATTTGAGAAACCCACTGTTCTTTCTTTAAGGACAAGAGAAGCACATCAGGCAAAGCCCAGTGTCCACAAGAAAAGGTTTTTTTTCTCCCAAAATAAAAAATGAATAATGAAAGAGCAATTTTCCCATCAAAAATTAAGAAATAAATATCAATGCTTAAAAAAAAAAAAAGCTAGAAAGAGCAAAATTTAAATGCAAATTTAATTGGATGACTTCTAATAGATTAGAAGTCAACTAGTCATAAATCATAGTAAAGCTTCAAAAAGAGCAATTACAACCCAGACTTGCTTAAGAAAAATGAACAAATGAAGGGAAACGTTGGCAAGAGATCAGACCTTCCAAGATCAAGAATTCTGGCCATACCCTCTTCTTTGTAGGTATATGATCATCTGAAGGTCATCTTGGGTCTTTCCTAGTTTGCCCTTCAAAAAAACAGAGAGCAAAACCACCAAATAACCAGCTATGGAGGCAAAATCAGCTGTTTGTTGGCAGAAGAAAAAGAACTATGCCATCTTGGGGAAGGAGTCCATATCTCTGTCATATGTTCTTGACCCATCGTTATCATCATATTCAACCTCTCTTTTATGGCACTGGCTGTTGTTCTGACATATCTAATTGATCAGGCATTTCTTTTTAATGTACAAAGCACTAGTCTGCAATTAGAGCAACTATATGAATCTGCTTTGTTTCAAGAACATTATAACATTGTCCATTGAAATGGCAGGACTGTTTCATGTATCACATGCAGAGTCTTCCAAATTCAGGTTACCATCATTTAAACGATCCTGTAAAAAATTCCTTTCATTGGAACATAAACAGATATGTAAAAACAATAACAACAATAGCAGTTTATAAAGTTATATTTAGAGGTGTTTATTTGGTAGTGTTTATTTTAATTCTAGATCAAAGGAAGAGTTACAAACCTCGTCCAGTTTTTTGAATGAACTCTGGCCTGTCCTAGGAAGAGAAGTGCTTTCTGCCTTTGACCTGTCCCAGTTCCCACTCATTTGTGATGTGGGTGGTAAGTACAGCCTATGCTTTGCCATCTTCTTCACATGTTGGGCCAATGGGCTGGATGGGCTCTTTGCTTTTCATCTGTAATTAGAAAAGGAAAAAAACCTTATAGCAAAACCACTATGGGATGTTGATACCAAATTTTGACAAATACCCCTATTTTAAAGTGGATTAACTAATCACTCTGACCTGATACTATACAGTGGAGAAATTGGCACAGGCTATTTAAAAAGGGGGAGACAGTTCAGAAAACAGTCTTCTCTTGCTTTTTTGCAATGCTAGCCAAGATGGAAGGAACTGAAATCAGAGAATCGCAGGCTCATGAACAAAGGACCCAAAAACTGGATTTGCTTGAGGAGCATTTTGGGGGTGCAAAAAAAAAAACATGACTGAAGATGTTATAGGACTTGGTGCCTTTTGAGATGATGTTCAGGTTTTTTTTCTGCTCAATCTGAATCAAATATCATTTCTCTGGACATTGTGAATATTCAGTGCATCCATCCTAAGGAATTCTCATAGCATTGGAATTCTCAATATGAAAATATAGAAGCAATTGGCTCAATCTCTGTTCTTTTTCCCCTGTTAGTACTTGTTTACCATGATATGAAGAGCATATCAAATTGGAAATATGTTTGTCGCATTTTTTAAAATTATTAAATTATTATTATTAAAATCATTTAATCTGATATGCAGCTGTAGAGGAATAATAGGCAGATAGCTTCAGGTAAAAAAGCTGGACGTGTACAAAAGTTTGTTTTGCAGATACTTAATTATGTTTTGTTCTTCTTTAAGGAAACACTGGTGGCTTAGCTAAGGAATTGATTTCACTATATCCAAAATGTATTGTGACCATTTTTGACCTTTCTAAACTAGCGGAAACTTTCAAGAACCATTGTTTGCCTTCAGAAGACTCCCAGATCACTTTCCATGCAGGTAAAAGTATATGTGATGCAACCTTCCCAGAACTCATGTCTTGCTAAGTACAAGAAGCTTTAGCAGGCAGAAGGGCAGACTCAATTAGGGTGCTGTGATTTTGAAAGGAAGAACAGATTATTCTGTCGGAATAATCTGGAAGACATGGTGCTTTATGAGATTTTACTTATTTTTTGTAGGTGATTTTTTTAAAGATCCCATTCCTGAAGCAGACCTGTACATTTTGGCCAGGACTCTGCATGACTGGTCGGACGAGGGATGTTTGCAGCTGTTACGCAAAGTTTATCAGGCCTGCAAGCCTGGTAGGTGTTCTTTAATCACGGAAAGTTAAATCAGCTAGGAAACTGGCAACGTTCATATACAGCTCAGGTTTTCAGCTTCCTGAAATCTAGTATAATTTTAAATTCATGATCCAACTTTTCTGAGCCTTGAACTGGCATCTTAGAATAACTAATTCAACTATAGTGGTGGAAAAATTGTGGTTCCAGATTAATTCTAGCAGCTACTTCTGCTCTATATCCCAAAGGATATATGTGTTGTGCAGATCAGATTCAGTCATTTTTTAGCGACTGTGCTATGAAAAATGTAACTAATAAGACCTCTCAGTGTGTTCCTATGTCTCTTTGCTACTTCTTGGCAATGTATATCAGGAATCCTTCTAAACTTGTAAAACTGACTGAGTTGATAAGTAACAGCCTATTCATGGTGGAAGAATATAAAAACAAGCCAATTACCTGTACTTACCAACAAATTTCAGTTTGCTAACTGGGATTGTAGTTCATGCAGTCCAACAGCATCTAGGCCAGTGATTGTGAACTTTTTAGACTCCGAGTGCCCAAACTGTGCACACATGCATGCCCAAATTGAAAGTGTGCATGTGTGCACACATGCACGGACATGTGTGCACATGCACAGCAGAGACCCAAAGACCAGCTGGCTGGCAGGAGGCAGAGCATCCCAACACCGGCAGCCTGGCAAGAGGTAAGATCCTTTTCTTTCGTGAGCTTGTTTCGCCGTTTGCAGGGAAAGAGAAGCTCACGAATGAAACGCTACAGAAATTTGATCTGGACCGACGGTACGAGTGCCAGCAGAGAGGGCTCTACGTGCCACCTCTGGCATGCGTGCCAAAGGTTCGCCATCACGGATCTAGGCAAAAACAAGCTCTTTCCACCTGAGCAGAAAGAAAATTACCCCAAAAGTAAAGGAACAAAACATTAGCTCTTAATTGACAAGATGATTTTGGCAAACTGCAAGAGAAGATCAACTAGAATGTAGCTTGGATTCCTTACAAGAAGGCATTCAACTCCCTGCTGCGTGATTGGATAATTCAATGCCTAGAAATAATAGGAGTCAGTAGAAATGTCAGATATTTTGTACAAAGATCAAAGGAACAATGGAAAACACCATTGCTAGTCAGTAGGTATAAGGTTTAATATCAAGAGAGGAATCTTTCAGGGAGACCCACTATTATCACTACTGTTTATCATTACATTGATTCTTCTGCCAACAATATTGAATAACTCAAGCCATGGCTATCAAACTTCAAAAATATTTGCCAGGCTCCTTCCTCACCACCAAATATAAGGTTCTACATTTAGGCAAGAAAAACCAAATACACAGGTATAGTGTAGGTGATACATAGCTCAATAGGAGTAATTGTGAGAAGGATCTTGGTGTCCTAGTGGACAATCACTTAAATATGTAGCACCACCAGTGTGCTACAGCTGCCAAAAATGCAGTCCTAGGCTGTATTAATAGAGGGATAGAATCAAGATCATGTGAAGTATTAATACTATTTTATAATGTCTTGGTAAGACCACATTTGGAATATTGCATCCAGTTTTGGTCACCACAATGTAAAAAAGATGTTGAGACTCTAGAAAAAGTGCAGAGAAGAGCAGCAAAGATGATTTGGGACTGGAGGCTAAAATATATAAAGAACGGTTACTGGGATTGGGTATGTCTAATGAAAAGAAGGACTAGGGTGACATGATAGCAATGTTCCAGTATCTAAGGGGTTGCCACAAAGAAGAGGGACTCATCTATTCTTTAAATCACCTGAAGGCAAGTCAAGAAGCAATGGATGGAAATTAATCAAGGAGAGAAATAACTCAGAACTAAGGAGAAATTTCCTGACAGTTAGAACAATTAATCAGTGGAACATCTTGCCTCCAGAACTTGTGATTGCTCCAACATCGGAAGTTTTTAAGAATAAATTGGACAACCATTTGTCTGAAATGGTATAAGACTTCCTGTCTGAGTAAGGGATTGGATTAGAAGAACTCCAATGTCCCTTCCAACTTTATTATTTTGTTATTCTTTATATGGTGACCTGAAGCTGTATAGAAAAACAACATCAAATAACATTAATTGAGGTATTTTCAAAGCATTATGAAATGTTCATTGGGCTGTTGAAATACATACTGTAGTAGCATTTTCTCGCCTCTGAATAATTGAAAAATATATTTTGAAACAGGTGGTGGTGTCTTAATAGTGGAAATGCTTCTTGATGAAGACAAAAGAGGGCCTTCAACTGCCCACTTCTACTCCTTGTTAATGTTGGTCTTGACTGAAGGGAAAGAACGGTCAGCAACCGAGTTTAATGTGCTGCTCCGCAAAGCTGGTTTTCAAAAAATTGAGTTAAAGAAAGGAAGCCTCTTTCATATTATTCTAGGAAGAAAATAATGCTGCCCCTGATTCCTTCCTGTTGAATGTGTAAGATGAAATTGTAGTAATCAAAGCCTTGATTTGTTAATTACAGGTATATTCTATTCTTCTTCCAGAGTCCATAGAGTAGGTAGCTAATCTTTTTTGTTATCACACAATGTTTCACCATAACCAGAGATCCCTGATCATGGCTGCAAAAATCCTGAGAACCAATTCTGAGCAATAAAGAGATAAAGAAAACTCTTATCACATGACAAAAATTAATCTTCTTATAGATCTTCAGTTTTTCCCATTCTGAGATATGAAGACAATCTTCTTACACACATGAAACAAACGACAGGAGTATAGGAGAAAATCTGATGGTCTGGATCAGGATTCTAAACCACACATATTGCTTTGCTAATTCAAAAAGCAATTAAACCCTAGAAATTATGCAACACACACAAAATGCAATAGGTGCTAACAAGATGAATAAAAATATTAACTGTAGAATTGCAAGCCTAGCCACAAGAAAATTAACAATTAGTGCTAGGAATTCAAGGTTTTTAGATAATGGCTATGAATGTTTCAGAAACATTCTCTCATTCTTTCTATGCCTAGTTATGCACTTCAATGCATATGAATTAACCCAATCAGTAAGATAACCTTATGAGTGCTGTATCCTATTAATAGGCTAATTACTAAATACAGATATTATAACAATCAAGATTTAAAAATGGTTTACATATGTTGTAAAAGGGGCTTATAACTTCTTTGCTCTTTAAGCTTTTCTATTTCATCACTGGTTCTAAATCTGTCAATAAACTAATTTGCATACTGTGTTAATGTTTTAGTTGTGTCCTGGTCTCAAGTTCAAATATTGTACCTCTAGAGTCTAGGATATTTTCATACAAGTACTATTCCATAAACAAGCCTCATCCAATATTTCAAAAGTTCTCCAGTTTTAGCAATAAAGTTCAGAAATGACCTTTCTGAAACAGAACATCTATTTTTTATTTCATTTATTTGAGAAAATGTATTCTCATTTTTTCTCCATATTTACTATATGTACTCCAATTTCTGCCAATATTCTACTTTCCCCCTTTTATCTATATTTTTTTATAAAATATATAGTCAATATTACCATCCGCCCTCGCCTCCTTATCTTCACCTATCACAAATTTTTAATCTATTGAAACCCTTTACTTTAAGCACAGTCATTCAAACATTTAATTTTTCACAATTATTTCTTTAGTATCAATTTTTCCCAAAGATGGACCAAATTTTCCCTATTTTACTATTTTATCCGTTGTTTTACCCTTTTAAGCATATATTTCTTTATATTTGTTTTACATCATCTTTATCTAAAAATTAATCATTTTACCATTTTACCCGAAACAATACCATTCTTTCCATTTACTTTTATAGCCCCCTTTTAAGTAAACCTAATTTTCATTTCAAATTCATTCCAACTTTCCCCTTTACATAATTCCAGTAAAAGATCAATGTGATTAGATCTGCCTTGGGTTCTAGCCTTATGGCGGATAATATGAATTTAACCCTTCCAACTGATTTTTCCATTATTTTCCATTCTCTAGACCTGGGGAATTTTGACAGGGGGTAGAGATGTGATAGACCCCAACTACTTACTTCACCTTTGACTCTTGTGGCTGATTAAATTAAGTTAATCCCAGTGATTAAGAGAGGTTATCAATGATTCTTTGTGAGAGGGATGTATTTCCCTTGCCTACTTACTGAAAAAAATATCCTTGATTTGTGAAATATGTGCAATTATACACCAATCTCAGATACCTTATTTCTGGGAAAAATTATCGAGGAAATGATACAGTGATTGGGACTGGTATAATATAAAGAACCTCCTAGATCACATAAGAGACTATCTATATCAGAAACTGGGATTCTTAGACATTTTGACTGAACCATTTCAAAAGAGGCCACAGCGAGGATATGTGAAGAGCTGTTGTGCATAGCATTTTGATATTCAGGAAAACCTTAAAGCCCCCAGTATTTTGGATTCTCAAATATATATTTCAGTATCTTATGGACTAGAAATTGTATGAATCAGTGGATTGCTCAGAGTGGATTGGAGTATAGCTCAAATAACTTTGACTCGTGGGGTTGATTTCATGCCCAATATCTCCAAAGCTAATCCATAGCATTTCCAAAGGATGAGTTCTGGGGAGAGGAATAATGTCACATCTGGCCTCTCAGGAATCTTCTGGTAAGGAAAGCATTTCAGGGTCCGAACAGGCAATACAATAAAATAACATAATAGCACAGAATGAAACAGCAATCAAGTAAAATAATGAATAATAAAAGAATAATGAATAATATTATGTTATATTATAACATTACATCATAATACTGAATAATAATAATAATAATAATAATAATAATAATAATAATAATAATAATAATAATGAATAACATCATGCAAGACGGAAGTCAAAAAATAATCCAGAATAAGACAAAAAAAGAAAGACCGTACACCCCTTCTGCCTGGGGAAAAAGGAAAGCGTCTGCTTGAGTGGTTAGAAGATAATGGGCAAGGGGTTGGAGGCATTCATGTGGATTGAGATTTGTAAGGTATAGGGATAAAAAGAAGGGACCATTCCTGAAAGGAAATTTGGACACTGGTATACCAGTCAACACAGGAGCCATCTAGTGAAGCTTTCCTTTCTTCCATGAGTAGGAAAGGCAAGAAGCTGTGGTAATATACTGGAATAATCTTCTGTTGCTTTAATTATTACGATATTCCAATGCAAATTCCATATCAGAGCAAATAACTTCATTAAGCCAAGTCCAAAAATACTTCTGCTAGCAGTAGTTTACTGCCCCAATAGCTTGCATTTAGTTTGGGGTGCTCACTCCCCATATTTTTGCTTTGTATAGTTGTATATTTGTATAAACTATATACAAATTAGTATATCGTTCCTAACTCTTTTCTACCCCACTCATTTCCCCTTCACCCCATAAGCAAGCTACACTTTGCTAAAGGAACGACAAAAAAATGCTTCTTTTAATTTTCCCCCATGCACAAGCCGCTTTCTAACATCGCACACAACTTCCCATCCTTTCCCTTGGGTGGCGCCGCTGAGCCGCGTTTGAGTTTAAATACCCTGATCACTTTAAACTCGACCATCAAGAGGCTCTAGGCGGGTACAGCACTGTACCTAGTGTTTCTCAACCTCAACCTTTTAAGATGTGTGGACTTCAACTCCCAGAATTCCAGGAGGTGAAGTCCGCGTATTTTAAAGTTCCGAGTTGAAAAACGGTGCTTTAAGGGGAATCAGGCTCCGTGCGAAACCTTACCTGGCCGCGAAAGTTGGCCAGCATGATTTTCATTAAGGAAGCCTACCGTCCCTTACTGAACCTGGAATCTGCTCAGGCCAACACTTTCCATTCACCCTAAATCCAATGTATCGCGCTGAGTCCTTTTAATTTTTATTTCAGCAGGAAAAGCATGCTATTTTAATTGAGAAGTTGGAGACTAATATTTTCATTAGTTGGGTTCTCGTTCGTGATAAAAAAAATCAAGAAACCACCTAATGCTAGAAAGCTGCATCGTCTCTAATTCCTGCTTTTCTCTCTCTCTCTCTCTCTCTCTCTCTCTCTCTCTCTCTCTCTCTCTCTCTCTCTCATTTACTATGCTTCACGTTTTCGTTTACTTTCTCCACTTGTAAATGAGCGCCAAGGGATCCACGCTGGAAAAACAGAAATGCCTGTCTGCAGGGTTGAAGCCGTTCTGTTTTTGTTTTTGCTGCCATCAAGTGGTCATCCAAATGCCTGCAGCTCAGATCTGGGAACGGAAACAATGGTCCACTCTATGCATTGTTATCAGAACGTTCTGAAGAAACAATAATTTTGTTGAATTCCCCGATTTGTCAAGTAAAGTTTCATTGCCAGTCCAATTCTGTTGGGTGTCCCCATTTATTTAGATGAAGTTTCAAAATGGGGGAGGATGAGTTAAATAGTTTGGCCTTTTAGAAACTCCAAACTCATGAAACGTGGCATATCATCAGCACAGCATGCCTATAATCTCATGAGATTTTCTGCACAGGAAAACTTATAATACATGCTATTATGATTCATATAGATTGTATTTCAGAAATGCTTGTGTATTTTTTATTTTTTTATTTGTTGCAGTTGTGTTGCTTTGTCCTTTAATTGGCAGAAAGAAACATATTTACAAAATATTCAGAAAGTATTTCTGCATAAAATGTTCTCTGGCTAAGAATCCTACTGAATGCATTAGGACATAATGGTGTTCAGATTGGTATTGTCAGAATCAGGTTTGCTCATATGACACACCCTATACACACACACACACACACACACACAAGATGTAATCACATACATTATGTATGTCAAAGGCAGACAATGCGATGCCTTCAAGGAGTCCAATCACCTCTAGAAATATCGTTATCTGCAAAGACTTATAGAAGTGGTATTATAAAATCATCATCATGTGCCATCAAATAGATGTCAACTCTTAACAACCACATAGACTTTTTCCAGGAGGATCTATCCCTAGCCTGGTCCTTCAGATCTACCAACAATGCATCCCTTTTTCGCTGCAATTGAGGCCATCCCCACTTCATTGGAATTATAGTCTGGTGACACAATACTCAAATGTATAAAACTTTTACAGCATAAACTTCAAACTTTTTCTTCTATTTTTTTCTTTTATTTTAATAACAATCATATGTAATAGGTGCATTGTTGTCCTTTTTTTCAACACAGTTTAGTCCCTTTTGAAATATGAATCAATTTGATTGAATTTCCTCATCATACTATGTCATACCATCTGTAACATATAGCTTAGTTTGTTTGCTAAGTCATAATTATCTAGGTCCACACAACGTATTAAGCCACAAATGGTTTGTACATCTCAGTGCCTGGATTCATAAAACACACTTAGTTAAAATATATGTTTCAGGAATCTATTTTGCTTTTTGTTTGTTCTGTTCCATTAGCCTTCCTCTAAGATTGTGTTCAACTTTACTGGCTATTCTTCTAATATCAATACATCAAGTTCTCTTCTGCATTTCCACTCTTCACTTCCTTAAAGCAGCAAGTCTTTTCCTACAGTACATTCCATAGCTTTAGGAGACTGAGAAATTCTAATTAAATTTAAATGAGTCATGTTTCCATTTAGAAAAAATGCTAGTGAAAGGTGGGTGGATATTCGTGGTTATTCAACTCAAGATTGCCTATGTCAACTAGCTGAACATTTGAACTGTTAATCTATAGTGTGAACAATATAAAAGCTGTCTGCCTCTGATAGATCTTCCAAGATATAATTAATTGTAAATTGCTAGCAGAGAATACCTCTGCAGTAGCTTTTCAGGGTGTCAACTAGTAAGCCTGTTGGACACTCTAAAGATTGAACTGGATTTTCTACATGCAAAATATGTAAATTGAATAAATTAATTAATTAAAAGCGTGAGTTGCATTGCATCACTGAGAGTGAGGGAATGTGTGGAAACAAAGTACAAGAATGGGCTAATTAAAATAATGATCTTATATGGCATTAGATTCTGATCTGAAAAACTTTCCTCATCTGCAGAATATAGACTGCCTTAGCTATTTCCAGATTAATTGAACTTGCAAGTTCAAAATCAAAATATAAAATCAAGAAGGACAATGCATCATGTTAAGATATAACCTAGGCTTCCCTCTTCTTCCTGAAAAGGGCTAGATATGAAAAATGGTGATGGGTGGAATTGTAATCATGTGATTACAGGGACACTAGCAGCTGCAACTATGAGAGCCCATTGTAAGTTCGCCTTCTTCAGCACTGTTGTAATGAAATGTTCAC